ACCTTCCATACGAACACAGTTACGAATGCGCCGAAGCATTCCAGCCACCGGGTTCTTCAGCACACTGGGTTCGCTGTGGACCAGCACCGTCTTGACCTGCGCCTTCAGTTGGGCGTTGCTGGTGGCGGATGTCTCCTCTCCTAATTCACCTCCTTTTGGGCAATGGTGCACACATTTTCGATGGGAATGGGATAGGGATTATTTCCAAGTCATAGAGTGCTGGCCCAGAAGGATATGGGGTTCTATCGGCATCACTTCTAACTCTTCTAGGCACTAGCGGCTTTGAGATGACACGCCGCCCCGCATGAAGACAGCTTGGCTTGAATCAGGCGTCAGAACGCGTTCAACAACCGAGCCCTCCGGTGCCGACCGGTTCACGGTTGAGTGCCTCCAACCATGATTTATCGGCCAGGATGTTGCTCCGGCAATACTCGTCGTTGATGGCCATTTTCTGTGGCACCACGTGCCAATGGAGCATCGCACAACAGCTGAACAGCGAACACGCTCCAGACCTGGATCTTGGCCGGATGTTTGACGTTGGCGACGACCGGCACGCTTGAGCTGCTGGCCGCCCACACATCGCCGATTTAACGGGTTGGAAGGATGATACAGCTCGAACGGCGACTCATCCGACATTACCACCCTAGCCACGTCGTCTTTTGAAAAATTATTAATTCAGAAAGAGCGTCATAAGATCAATCGAATGCGATTTTCCGCGGCGCAATAACTTTATTGGCTCTCGAGCTATGCGCTGATTTGTCGAAAAAAAATTAAATACTGCACGTCCTCTGGTGACCTGACCTTTCACCTGACCTAAACATGTTTAAATATTTTCTTCTGTATTTTTTTTTTTACGCTCTTTCAAATGCCGATTACCGCGTGTCGCTACGTGTCGTCCAGGAGGCGAGTTAGACGAGGGGGTGGGGTGAAAACGCCCCATCCCCCAGCACGACATGGAAGACTCAGACCACCAGCACGGCGCGGGTTAACCCGGCAGTTGCTGGGGTATTTCGACACCCAACACTTGCTATGATGGGAGTTGTTTAACCCTATTAGTGGCAGGAAGTTGTTTTCATCGGTTCCTCAGTTTTTTTTTTGTGTGTGGAATATCTCCGAAACGGCTGGAGCTAGGACCTTGAATTTTTTTTACTTTTCCCAAAAAATAAACTGGGTACATTCCCTGAAAATTTCAAGTTGATAGTTGTGACAGGGACGGTTTCAGGGCATCGTAAATTGGGAGGTCCTATTGGTAAATGAGTCTCTTGTGTGAACATCACGATGCTGATGCATTAATAACTATATGCACCAGTTTGGCGAACAGCCACTGAAACATATCATGTGGAAGCATATGCACAGTGATTGTGTATGTTCTTTTTATGCGTTTTACCTCCAATAGGCAGATCAAGACATCCAAAAACGGGGTGGTCGAAATGATATGCACTGGTACCATTTGATGAGGGGTTAGCGATCGAATTTATTATATCATGTGATCGTCAACACTTGCAAATTATACATTTCCAAAAGTCATAGGCGTGTCGTGCTGAATATTGGGAAGTAATTACACACTGTGATCATGGATGACTATGTGAAAGTGTCAAACGCAATAGCGATTGAAGATATGGTGTGGAGTGCTCTCGCGAGGAACATATTGTTATGGTATCTCAAAATGAATGACCTTTTCCTATGAATATAGAAAAGTTTAAATGTCGAAAATGATGTATTTAAGTGAATTTTCGCCCACAGGGCATCATCAGACAAGCAATCTGCAATTGTTGCAATCATGGATGACTCGTGGGGGCTCAGCCGAATGACCTTGAAATTCAAACATCCGTAACTTCGTAAATATGGCGGGCCGAGCTTAGATTTTGGGTGCATCGTAATCAGGACGTTACGTACTATCCACTGACCAAGTTTGGTCCAAATCGGAGGGGCTCGCCTGACTCCGAATCTTAGATTATACCGGGCTTTGCAAAAGTTCTGTTACACTTTCTTTTTCTTTATTTTGAGGGGTTAACAGGTCTGGGCCAAACGTTTCGGCGATATCAATTGAAAATTCTGCTTATTAGAGACATGGTACCATGACGAATTTAACCTTCTTTTGCAGTTATATCAAAATGGAGGCCAAGAGAATAGAGATAGCCGCTTTGCTCCGCGCGCAGCATACCAAATCTTTCATTGCCAAGCACCTGAAAGTCAGTTGAAAGAAAGAAAGAACATCATCACGGAGGCCGGATGTTTGGTCTTTGACACGCGGCGGACCTAGGAAACATCGTTCCGAAAGGTGACGACGCGGTCGTTCTGCTTGTTCACGACCGTGTCAATCGTGAAGGTTTTCTCGTCAGAGAAGATGAGGACGCGTTTTCCGTTGCTCTTCAGGTCGCTGAGCAGGCGCTGACAGCGGTCGCGGCGCTGCTCCCGCATTCGGGCAGTGAGCAGAGGCCCTTCCAGGAGTCCTAGGCTCTTTCCAACCTGGTTTTTGACGGCCCTGGACACCGTGGCGACCGAAATCTTCTTGCGTTTCGCGGCCTCAGTCATTTTCAGCCTTGGGTTGCGTTCGAATGCCCGTTTTACGGCCAGTCGGCTCACTACTCGAGGTCTGCCGGTACGGGGTCGATCTTTGAGACCTTCTCCGCTCTTGAGCCTGTCCGCAACTCTGTGGACGGTCATCCGACTGACTTTAAGGTGCTTTACAATGAAAGCTTTGGTATGCTGCGCGCGGAGCAAAGCGGCTATCTCTATTCTCTTGGCCTCCATTTTGATATAACTGCAAAAGAAGGTTAACCCTCGCCGGACCTATTGGTTTTCTACATACGCGCCGGCCGAGGGGGGGGGGGGCGGGTACGACCCCCCCCTCGCCGTTTCGCCCCTGGTGGAGCTAGCGCGTCGCGGAAAAAACGAGCGTGTGCGCCGTTACGAGACGCAGAGATTGGTACCCGATTTTAAGGTCCTAGGTCAACCAGTGACCTCTGAGGTCAGGTCAAGTGCCCCAAGGTACGGTTCAGTTTTTGGTGAATAACTTCGCAAAAAACGGCCGCAGAGCGCCGATTTTGGCAGCATCGTGTTTGTCTCGCTCAGGCGCGTCGAATGATATACTTTTTGTCCGGGTCAGGTCAACTTGGGGTGTTGACCTCAGGTCAAGGTCAGGTCAGCACCCCCAGGTCACGAAGTTGGTCGAAAGAGGTCATGTCGCATATCATTCGATTCGGCAGGTCTTCCTGAGTCCATTGGTGGCTTTCCCGACTCGCTAGCTCAATTTGATCAAGAGTTATTGACGAAAAACTAATATGACCTTGATGACGTCATAAATGACGTCACGCAAGGTCAACATTGCAAAAGTGACGCATCTAACCTTGCAAGGAGTGCATCAAATCACGATTCTGTGTGCTTGAGATAGTTGGAGATCGTTCCCGGCGCCAGAATAGCAGTTTTCATTTTTCCCCATTGACTTATAATGGTGAGGTCACGAAAATGACCTGACCTCATATGACCTTTAGGAAAAATCCGAGATATACAAGTTGTGGGACTCATAATGGATACTAGATCCTGCAAGTTTCATTTCCCTGTGACATCTCCTCTGGCAGTGAGGGCGTTGCGAAGTTGCGACATCTGAAGACCGTGCAGAGGTTCACTTATGACGTCATAGGTCAGTGACCTGACCTGACCCAAAAATGCGGTTGGTGTCAAAAGATCCGGCTTGGATCAAAGGTCAGGTATGCCAAGTTTCAGCTCTCTATCGCCAGCGTGTTCGGAGCTATCGCGAAAAAACCCTATGGGGGGGGGGGGGCGGCACCCGCCCCCCCCCCTCGGCCGGCGAGGGTTAAATTCGTCATGGTACCATGTCTCTAATAAGCAGAATTTTCAATTGATATCGCCGAAACGTTTGGCCCAGACCTGTAAACCCCTCAAAATAAAGAAAAAGAAAGTGTAACAGAACTTTTGCAAAGCCCGGTAGATGATTCACTTACATAAATCTAACCTGACGACCGTATTTAAAACTGCTTTTATTTCACCTCAAATGCAGTAATGGCATTTTGAGTCACAGCTCTTATTATCTATAAAATTTAGTAGGCCAAACCTATGGTTTTCCTATCGGTTGTCCTAAAAACTGGCCTGTTCCCTAAATATATTTTATTCTCCGGGACTAGGACCAAAAACGACAATTCCAGCATATTCGTGTTTACCGAAAATTGTCTGCATGTCTGTTCTATGATTTTATATGTTTTTCAAGCAGGGATGCGGAGCCGTGAAAATTTCAGACGGCCCCGGCTCCGGCTCCGGAGAAAAAAATCGGCTCCGGCTCCGGGTGAAATGTCATGGCGGCTCCGGCTCCGGATCCGAGTAAAATGATCCGGCTCCGGCGGCTTCGGCTCCGGCTTCTACTCAGTACATCCCCTATGCGATCAATTAAATACGGGTGGAAGAAAAAAGGCGATGGGATTGGTACACGTTGCTTCTGCTGTATTTGTATACCTAACAAGGCTATTTTGAATACCACATTGTTTTACGCCTTGTACTGTCAAACCCAACTAGGTAAGTAATTGTTTCCTCTTAAGAAAAGGAGCCGGAGTCGCACCCTTTTTTGACGGCTCCGGCTCCGGTTCCAGGCCATATTGTTTCACGGCTCCGGCTCCTGCTCCGGGCAAAATATGCCGGCTCCGGCGGCTCCGGCTCCGCATCCCTGTTTTCAAGCATAAACCATTTTTGGCCGAAAACTCCGAAGTCATGACATCGTGATTTCTGTCTCTGGGAGATATCGGACGGCAGCCAGGTCTCGCGGACGGCAACCACATCGCGATGGTAGAGGGCAGGTGGAAGGGCAGGCAGGCGAGGCTTGGTCGTCGACTGAACGTTCGTTGGGGAACACATGGAGGTATTCGTAGGGTATCCGTACTTTGCTGAGTAGTGAACAATTACACAATCGCCAACGGCAGTTTAGGGAATCCCTCACCAAACATAACAATTATCCGAGGAGGTAGGATGAGGATACTGTTCACACTTACCTTTTCCCGCTTGAGAGCCTCAATTTGCTGCTTCAGTTGGTTGACCTGGTCAGTTCCAGTCGAGTTTTCAGATTGGCTCAGCGACTCCTGGAAATCAAGAGCGCAATCTCATAATCAAACTACCGGAATCTAAGCTGACTGTTGCACACGTTTGTCGAAAGTTCACAAAGCAAATTACCGATTCAGAAGATCCTGATGAGCCGCCAGCGGCATCCTGCGGTGACCCCCAAAGCATCAGACTGATCCCACCCAAGAACTGAGCCTCTCATCCCTCTGAGACCGTCCCAGCCGGGCCGGCCGTCCCAGTACTCACCTGACCATCGTCACTGAGCTCCGGGTCCGTGTTCCAGGCGCCGTCCCCGCGCGCACCGCCGCCGGAGGCGTCCCTCGCCAGCCCCTCGGAGCCGTCCAGCGCCGTCGAGTCCGGCTCCGGCTCCGGCTCCGGCTCCGGCTCGGCCGAGTCGCCGTCCAGATCCATGGTCGAGTCCGGGTCGCCGGCATCCAGGTCCTCCGGGTCGGCCAGTTCCGAGTCCTCCGGGTCAGCGGTACCGGAGTCCCTCTCGGCCGACTCTGACTGCACCGAGTCGCCGTTCTGAGTCTGCGCGGCCGTCTCGCACTCTCCGCCGTCCTCCCGCTCCTCGTCCTCTCTCCTCTCCTCGTCCTCCGACTCCGGGTCGGTGTCCTCCGGGTCGGAGCGCGGCTCGAGCTCGGCTGTGTCCGCGTTGGACACGCCGCCCAGCCCCACCAGGTCGCACTCCGCCTCGTCCAGCTGGGGAGGCGGGGTGTCCACGGCTCGCACACGCTCTGCGATCGCCGAGCCGAGCAGCGCCTCCGCTAGACCCACGTCCACCTCGACCGAGACCAGATCGTCCAGCTGGTAGAAGCGCGGCAGCCTGTGAAGAGGGAGGGTGGCGTCAGGGCTCGGGCAATTTAAACACGAGCAGGGCGCCGCCGTGGGATGACGGGTCAAACAACGCAGTCATTCACCGTCATTCATCAATGACCGACATTAGGACGAGAAATTTCGCGTCCGGCAATTACAGATGAAGTTGAAAGATTGACTTGTTTGATCTTATTACGCAAACAATCCTTCAGAGTCTGGTGCTGATCAAATGCGATGGTGGCCGCCACATAACGAACGACCCAACTAGCGGTGCAGGCATTTGAACAGTAACAGGACCCAGCAAAAATAATAGACGGACAGGAGACTGACTGACTGACCGGGTGAGGAAGGCCTCCAGCGAGCCGTGCTGGGCGATCAGCTCCTGACAGTAGCTGGGCAGCTGGCTGACCGCCTCCAGCAGCTCCGGGTCGCTGACGTTGGTCGGACCGCGCTCCTTCAGGAAGTCGTACAAATACCTGGAGAAATGACACATACGTGCTGTAACAGATATACTATTTATAGCTGGGAGTACAGACTGGCACACAAAATAGCAGTCCGGCATGGATGAATGGGCCACATAAGCACTGCAGTTACCTTTGGCTTATGGTTTATGTGGAGGTCTAGCAATGAGTTACATGCCAGATAAACGGAGTGGATTGTATTGAAACATGACGCCCTCACCATGCCTTTCTGTCGTAGCATAACGCCAGAAGGCCCGGTATTCCGCGCAGCTCAACTCACCGCCCGGGTGGCGACCCCCCCCCCCCCCCCCGAGGGGTATTTAGAGCCTACTCACTGGTAGGCGCTCTCGAGGAAGGCGTGCTCCTCCTCCCCGGACTGGTCGTCCCGAGGTACCGACGCCGGCTGAACAGACTGAGGGCGGCACACGCAGCCAGACACGCCGTTAGAATGACAGAGTGAGCAGGTTATAAAAAGACCCAGCAGAAAATCAATGACCGTTAGTATAACGCAATGATTCAAGAAGTGACTCTCTGACGAGTTACTGATAATAGTTTCAACTTTCACCAAAGTCCCCTACCCAAAACGGACTGATCCATCGCTCACCGTGTCGGGTATCAGAGAGCGGGTGCTGAACTGCAGGGTCCTCATGTCCTCGAGCTGACAGAGCCGAGACGCCAGGTCATCTCTGCAGCAGACACATCAATGTAAGTCCCGTGCACTCGGCCCGACACCCGCCTCCCGACGGGTCGTCCATGAACAATTCATCTACAACTGGAGATACATACATGACCAAACACTCCATGCGCGCCACCATTACACTGCCCAGGGTCCTAACCCATCCAGTACGCTGTCGTTTACCTTCGCCTCAGCTGTCCGCCAAGTCTGCGCCCCGTTCCTTTCCTTCTGTCAATCCTTATTAATTTCTGTCCCAGTCCCTCCATTTCTATAACGTCCGTGCGCCTCCTAGATTTCATCTCACTCCTTATACCTCACCCTGTCCCATTTTGTGTCATCCAGCCATATCCCCCCGTCCATTCCCGCTCTTACCCCTCCATCCCGCCCATCCCCATCCTGCCCCACCCATCACCCACTGGCTCGTGTTGTAGATGACATTGACCGGCGGCCCGTTGTACACCTCCTCCGGGCCGGTGGTCTCCCAGAACATCTCGGTGGCCGAGCGCCAGCCGCGCGTGCCGCCCTTCTTCTTTTTCTTCTTGGACTTCTTCCCCACGGGCGCCGGCGGCTGGGGGAGGGATGCTTTAGATCAACGGATCTACATAAGCTTTGCCACTAAAAACGACAGAGCTCTGATGCAATCTCACCAATTATAAGACGATGGTTACACGCAAAACAACGTAAGGGTATGAGCCACTGCTGTACCACATCACAACATCAGAGAGCCATTGGATATAAGTTTTCCGAGCGCACACGAAGTCCTACTTCAAACGGAAATTAATCAAAACGCCAATTTTACATGTATACAATTACAGAGTTTTGAACTTGTCATCACCCTGTCGTCCCCTGCCAGGATTGCTGTGGGAGCTGTCCCCTCTCCGCCTACCTCCTCGGCGTTGCTGCCGCGCCGGAGGACGGTCATCTCGCGCAGGTCTGGGGGCAGCGCCAGCTCCGGCTCGGCTGGAGCGGCAGCCGGCGCTGCCGCCGCCGCACCGGCAGACTCCGGCGCCGACTCAGTGGGCTGCTTCTGTCCAGAGATAAACAGAACACCATGCTGAGGATTGGCAAATACAAAAGTCACAAAAAAGGATCAAGAAACGATCTGCTGTTTTCTTTCAAAACCAGCACCGAAGTCCATAACGCTCTGCTGCAGGACATAAAAATGACTTTCAAATAGTTAGTCCCCATCGGTACATACAGGGTGTCCCAGAATTACCCGGACATTTATTTTCTGGCTAAAAGTACGATTGCGCTCGATTCTAATGATATACAAGCATCATACTTTTATCAGATATCCCTTAGCTATCGAGCTTGGGGACTGTGTGCTTTTGGTGACCGGTAACGACTCGAGTCAAGCATTATCCAGAGTCAAGTAAGAGTAGTCCTTTTCCGTTTTCAGCTTAAGCCACTAATAGGCAACCATGGTGAATCAACTCCCGTTTTCAACTTTGTAAACGGACTTTCGGCATGGTTTTTGCTGGAGAGCTTCAGCAGCTCATCTGCAAGCAGTTAGGATTGAGCAAAGCGCAATTATATCAGCTAACAAAGCCAGAGAGAGCAAGAGATAAACCTGATTGACAAGCTTGGGCTCGGCCAAAAAGGGCCATGCACCAGTTGTCAAACGGGTGGTTGCTTGTCATGGACAACAAACGTCACTGATCTAGCTAAAAACTAGCTAAACGATAGATCAGGATTATCTGAAGAACATCAGTCTACTTTCCACCACTATCTTCGCAAAATTTTGGAATTTGGGGTCCCTCGCCTGAAAAATATGCGAAAACTACGGGAAAAGCAGCGAAAATCACTACAATTCATCCCAAAAAATATAACATATACAACAAAAAATTATATTGAAGCACACTTTGTGGTCTAACGAAGGTATGCTGTCATTTGAACCGCCCGAAAAAGGCGTGTGTGAACGTCAGATGGCTACAACGCCCCAACAGCAGAGACGGCCAGGCACCCGTCGAAAATCAAATTGTGACACATTTTGAGCCACCGTGCACTCATTCGGCTTGATATGATGGCCCAACGACAGCCGTTAGCACAGAGTACCACTGCGGTAATATTCTACCAGTACAAAAACTGGATGCCGTGAACCAAATGGCCATGAACGGGTTTGTTTTGGAAACCAAATCTGTTGAAAGCCAAAGGTCCCGCCATGTTCAGAAATGGAGCTTCTCCACTTCAGATGTAAAAAACGCGGCAAAAGTGGTGTAGGCAGCAATTTTTGTTTTGGGGGATAATGCCTTATGACCTGGGAACACTTTGATGTTAAGTTTATTTTATATGATCGTATTATCCTCCGGCAACAGGTCAAAGAAAACAGGCCTTCACCCAGTTTCGGGAGAGCCGTAAAACAACTGAGACCAGCAATGGCTGGCATTTTCAATCATTGTCGGCTCACGGCTGATCTTGTAACAAGCGTACCTATCTATTGCATGTGCTATTTCACAGCCACCCTAGTTGACTATATAGGACGATAAAAAGAAAAAAGCGCAATCATGTTTGCCTTATTTTATACGCTAATTAACAATGTCCGGGTAATTCTGGGACACCCTGTAGGCAAACAATCAGACTTCTGATTACTATACTCCGATCACGGTGACCGTACGAGCGGTATAGTGCCGTACCTGACTACTGGTGTCGGTCTCAGTGCTCTGCTGCGGCGCGCTGTCCTTCCGCTTCCGACCGGTCTTGGCCACCTGGTGCTTTTTGGCCGCCTGCGCCGCTTGCTTCTTCTGCTGCCTGACAGGGGTGGCGAGAAGCTCGTCAACTAACACACACAGCACGGACTGAACGATGTAGATCATATAACAGGTGACGAACGTTAGGAGCATCAGCGACAACATTTTACAGGTACAGGCAGGGAACTACAAAAGAGTAACACTCGCGGCTATGCCAATACGATAAATAAAGTCTGAAGTCCCCTACCATCCCGCACTATGTAACCAGCACCCGGCCTTTATCGCCGCCACCTACTTGCTGAGCTGTTTCTGCTGCTGCCGCTTGTACTCGTCACTGACGATCTCGTGCTTCTCGAGGCCATTGGCGTCAATGGTGACAATGCGGCAGATGTTGGAGCCACAGTCGGGAGTGAGGCAAGGCGTGTTGAGCACGTCCTGTGGGTTAAACAGCGACAGTCAGAACTGAAGAGACAGTTGCAGACGATACAGTCATGACTCATGAAAACTACTCACAACGGCTACAAAACGCTAGTTACAGTCGGCCACAGGAAGTGATACAGCTGTTAGTAAACGGGAGTCCTGAGCGTTGCTCTAAAAGAAAAACCAATTGAGCCGATACTAGGCTGTTCGGAACATGGATTAAAACGATAAGACCGACTCTCACCTACAGATCTAGCCAAGGGGTGATGTCATATTTACAGAACAAACGACTTGCCAGTTCCTAGTTCCTACCCCATCTAAGGAAGACACAGAAGACACCGATTCCTCTACGCGTCACCACAGTGACTGTGTGTCGGTCGCGGACCAGGCCCTGTGACCCCACCCGGCGCCCACCTTGTCGGCGGTCCGTTGCGTCTCCGAGCCGAACCGCTCCTTCAGCTGCCGCCAGCAGGCCAGGTGGTACTCGAGCCGACACCGCGACAGGCACTGTACGCGGATAAACCCAGCAAAGTCCACGTCCCTGGCGGCCGAACGGAGGAGATGAGAATACTCGGCGGGCAAATAAACAGTGAACAATACATGCAGCTTTACAGTCGGTCACAAATGTGTATATTCAGTAAGGAAAAGTCACAGCTACAGCCAGGCGCATCCGCAATTTGCGCCCTACGGCAGTCTCTGGACTAGGAGAGACCCGGAAGGTATGGACCGGTTTTGTACAAGGACACTTTTCTTCCTGTGGGCAGTGACTAGGCCTGGTTTTTCACTCTTGGTCGCGAAATTGCCTTCGCCTGTAAACTGTGCCCCGTATCAGGCATCTGGGATCAACTTTTTTGTTTCGAGACACTTATTCAATAAATCACGCGCTTTTTCGATTCATCAAAATACCCCGGGGGTATGGGCAATGGCCCGGGAGGTATGGGCCGGTGTCATGTTCCATATTCTATTCTCAGCATCGGGCATTGAGCACAATGCTCGTAGCTAGGATCTACCTTGAGCTGTGTAAGAGCCCAAGTACCGCATAAGCGGCCAAGAACCCATTCCATGGAGGTCACTTGGCCACATATTTATTTGGATAAAATCAATCACGTTCCTCGAAATAAGACAAAAAATATTTCATGTTCGAATGCAATTTTAGTTAAATTTTCGACCCCGCGCGACAAAAGAAAACTTATTGAAGAGAACATCCAATGAAAACAACGGTTTATTAATTGAGGATCATCACTTGTGATCAACCTGTGACCACATGATAGTAGAGAGCATTAAAGGAACACATCAGTTTCGATTGTTTGAGGTCATCAACCCGTGACCACATGTCAGTTTTCTCAACTCATAAAACGCAAAATGTTCACGTATCGGCTAAAGACCGTTTCACTGACTTCCGTTTCAAAACTCCTTGACGTCCACAACAGTGCCCTGGAATAGATACGCGTCCGGCCTCCTGAGCTGGGCTCCACTCAGCTGGGCTGGAGTGGGGGTAGCGCCGAGTGGTGTCTCACCGATGATAGCACCACGCTGCTATCACACGTGTCAAATTGGGCTTCCATGGAAACATCAGCAAGCCCATTGCTCCAATACGTCTACCACAAGTGTGACGTCAGCTCGCGAAATGCGATAGCAGCGTCCATTGAAACACGTCGGTGGGGCAGGGTAACCTTTGACCGGTCGCATGGCCGAGCAGCTGTCGCTCGTACAGTCTTTGGCAGTGAAACCCCGCTAGCTTTCCATGCGCGGGAATTGAGTGCAGCTGGATGGCGCAAAACATGCATATGAAAATGTAAATTAAATCATGTTGTAAATCTAACAGAACAATGAACAATGAATTCTTCACAGGTATCCTGAATAACTTTGATAGCGATGTGGACCGTTAAACTAACAAATATGACACTTGTTTAGTAGAACTACTTTAACATGGCGATGGCCCATAACTCCCGGGGGCCCACACCTTCAGGGATTATCTCGAGATCAGCTTCCCTCTAATGTGCACACAGCAGCAGCTATCGTCTACCATATACCACCGGCCGTCTCACCCGTAGTAGATGGCGGTGCGCCGCTCCTGTCGGCTCCGTTTGGGGTTGTGTAGGTCGGGCACGGTGACGTGCGTCAGACAGTCGTCCAGTCGGCAGAGGGCGTCCGGCCGCGGCGGGTACTGGCAGCGCCGCAGCAGCTCCTGCACGGGATGTCGCAGCGTGCCGCGCCAGGCGCTCTCCGTGTCCGGGATCACCTCCGAGGTGCCCGGGTAGACGTGCGTGTCACCGCGCGCGTCCTTACTGAGAATGTCGCTGGCCAGCTGCAGCACGGCCGCCGCCTGCTCGAACCTGACGTACACGCAGAGACGATGGTGAGTAGGGGCGAGAACTAAAAGGGCGCAGGGATGCAGGGATTACACACTACACAGAGACAGACTGTGCCACACAGACATCGGCGGATAGCGGACCGTTCCCACAGTTGCAAACCAGAACACATGCTAAAAACGGCGAACGGGTACACGGCATGCTGCTCTTGCGTCGCGATATTTATGCGCATGATGTGCAAGTCGAATATGGATCAATTATGGGTGTAACTGACAAAAATGCAATAAATAGCATTCCTGCGGTCCTTACTTCATGATCTGCCTTTGTGAAACACAACCACCCATACTGAATGCCACAGTATGCAGCGTTATTGCAGGTCGCGCTGAACAGCTACAGCGTGGCGCGCGGCGCGGAGCGAGGCGAGAAGGAAGTCACACCTGTTGAGTCTCATGTAGACGCGGCCGAGTAGATAGAAGGCCGCCGGCATGGGCCGCTTGGTCTTGTGTATGATGGCGAGCAGCTCATCCTCCGCCGAACTGAGCGCCTCTTGTGTGGCCACTTCGTAGCAGGCCATCGCGAAACAATACCTGCCGATACACAGAGACCTCATAGCAGTCCAGGACGAAGCAGTACCTGTCCACAGGGACCGGCACAGCCATACATTCACTGCAGCTGATACTGCGTGACTTTTACGAAACTGGGAGTAGCGTCCGTTACACGCGCGGGCATCGGTGATGGTAGTCTGACATAAGCCAGCATTCAACAAAATATTCACCAGCGTCTCTTGCTCTGCTCCTGACAGGTCATACAACGAGTTATAACCTTACAAACGCATACGCAACTATCTCCAATTTACTCAACCACACATCTGACGACTCATACCTCGAAACGCTTCTTCCTCTCCCCCTCCCCCCACCATACTACCGCAGTGACAACGGCACCTGACACCACCAACCACATACCTGAGAGGGACCAGACACCGTAAACCACATACCTAAGTGAGATCAGCTCGTTGCCAGAGAGGTTCAGCTCCTTGGGGTACTTGGCCACCTGCTGGAGTGCCTTCCGGTACTCATCATAGGCCTCTCGAGCGCCGCCGGGTCGGCGCAGCGCCACCGAGCCCCGCCGCACCGTGATGCACAGCTCCTGGGCAGCAGCGGGCCGGAAGGGGGAGGGTAGGTTTATTTGTTTGGGCTCACGGGCAGAGCGAGGTCAGGGCGTGTCCAGTCATGCTTGCAGTGAGACGAGTAACGAATATGTGGCGTTGGCTGATGATATGAACGTTAGGGCTCCAGTTTAACGTAAAACGATGCGGTGTTTTTACCATCGTAAGCGGAGCTACAAGCTATAGCGGTTGGCGGTACACATAGCTCTGTGCTATTATAATTGTGTCAGCTACACGCGCTGTCTGGGGGACCGGATATCCCGCCCCCCATACCTCCGACCGTCAGGTATGGCGCAGGGTGACCCCCTGACCCGGCCCTCACTGACCTCATTGAGGGCGTCGGGCTGTCCGGCGCGGGCGGCGGCGGCCGTCTGCTCGCTAACCGTCTCCGCCGGTCGACTGGAGGCCAGCAGGCTCGACCACACCCTGTCCAAGAGGGAAGACATCATGGCTGAGTACGGCGTGCGCATCCCGGTCAGCCGACACCGACACTGAGCCAGACACTGGCACCGATCACCAGCCGGTCCAGTCTGACCGAGCACCGTGGCAGATCACAGTCGAGCAGTGGAGTGCCGCCACCTCACGGCGACCGATTCAGTCCCTCCAGGGTGACCCGCACAGCCCCTTCCGTATCAGTTCGCCGCTCTGCACAGTCTCACAGCCACTCTAAATCACACCTAGCACCACACCCGCACTGTAAAACCCGCATCACACGTGTGAGTAGCGCGCGGAACTGCCCCCGCGGCGGCGCGAGATTCCGTCTGCGGCCCTCCCATGCCCCTCTCGGTGCCCGCAGGTCCTGGCAGGGCGCCAGACTCTGCCGCGGGCGCGGGAAGGTGGCGCGCGCGGCAGTCCGCGGTGGGGCGGAAACGGACCACAGCCAATGGGGTTCGAGAAGATGGGACAAGCTTTTCTGAGTCAGAGCTGACGCGCCTAACAGAGGCTGCCGCGTACACCGGCCAGCTGACGGTATTCTGAGCTCCCACCAGGCGGGCGGGTGGGGGACGAGGGGGAGTCGGGAGACGAGCACGAGCAGTGCACGCTTGACGCTCCGTAGAGTCCTATCTTATCCCGATTTATGATATCGAGTGGAGTGCTTCACTATCCAGAAGCCACGATATTTGACATTGCAATGATACCGGTGGCAAACGGGCATCCACGCTAGTTCACTTTATTCTGGTCAATATATGATATAATATAAATCCAGGTACCGCATAGTTCTCTTGCTGACAGGTTACGGTCAGTGCTGCTTCAGTTAGCGCTGCCAAACCCTGACTACGTCTTTCGATAAGATTGGCGCCGATACAGGAATCCGATACGGCCTGATAAGATTGGGTAGTAAGCCAAACGTATCGTCTGGTGGGCGATGCGGTGCAGAGCCCGTCAGGGAGCCAGCCAGAGATCTTTCTAACATCTTGCGCGGGAAGAAATCGGAACATTAACAAACATTATCGGTTTCAGTATCGCGAGAGCCCTCTTTTGCAAAAGATGGTCTTGATGATGTAAATCAAGTACACAGCCTCAACGGAGGATCTCATAAAGTCCATATTGTGACATATTTGAGATCATTGCAACGGAAATATGCACAAACACGTTACGCAGTTACGATTGAAGTATGCATCTCAGCTAGCCGTTCATAGCAGAAAGTAACTTCGCGCCTCTTTCTATGACATTCACAATTCAAGTATGAATCATATAAGATCGCGTTTGAAAATTGAATTCTACAGTTCCAATACCATTGAATACGGATGCTCCTCAAAGCCCAATTTTCCACGAAGTGCAGTGTTCATTCTCAGTGTAGAGAGGTCGTCTTTAAATTACCGAGCGATAAATGTTTACACGTACCTATTTTGAATTAATATCCCACTCGCACCTTATCAACTTAAAGTATGAGGGAGCAGACTCGATTGTGACACCAGCACACGTGATTTATTGAAATAGCATGCAGTCTGCCGCCGCGAAACCATGGCGATACCCAGCCGTCATGTTCTTGGTTGCCAGCGCTGATAACAGTTGTGAAAGCCGTTACTGGGCTTCGAGTTTTTAAATGTCTGCCCACGATTCTGTTAGCCCCACAATTCAAATCCTTCCTAAAAACATTTAACTCGTTGATAATAAGCGCTGCACTGTATCAGTGCATTCACGATGTTGCGCCTAGTCCGTGAACGGGGCCAGAGTGATCGTTAGTGGAATTGTGTGGACTAGATATGTCGGGCCCGGTGGTGGGCTGATGGGTTTGTGCAGGGAGTTCAGAGGCCGAGAGCGGACGTGCTATGTATTGCTGTTTTGTTTACTTGTTTAATACATGCTGTGGCGGGTCACTGTAACGTTGGTTTAGCAGAAACGTCACTCAGTGGGCGGCCTCCGGACCCGGTCCGCCGGATGGTTGGGGGGGGGGGGGGCTGCAGTATCGCCCGGCGGGGAGGGCAGAGGGGGAGGGTGCAGGGGGGTTACCCGCGCTGTCCCGACCCAAACAGAACCTGCAGGCGGCAAAGTGAGTCATATCACGGCGTCGGTCCAGCGGACTCGGGCCGGGTGGCGAGGCGAGGGAAGGCAAGGAGGCAGGGACATGGTGGTATGACATGAACACGCTGTATAGCATAAACATACATCATGCGACGACACGTAGAGCCACATACAACCGGCGCGGCCCAGTGGCTGCGTGGCTTCAGCTCCGCCTCTATGACTGGCCCGTGACTGATGACTCAGCCCGGATCTTCCAGCCATGCACAACAGCTAGCAACGCTACATTTCACACACCCCACAGAAATAACCATCAGAAGTTAATGCATCAACGCAACCGAACACCCCGCCCTGAGACTAATTCGTGCCTGCACGAATATGCCCCCATATACCTCATCCCTTAGGCCATCGGGATTAGGATGTGCTAGAATCTCGCAACGATTCTCTCAACCACCTGTACTGACAACTCTAGGCAAGCCAGAAACACATACAGACAGGTCCCTGTTCAACAGACAATGCCGGGCTACCCGACCCGACCTAAGCCCCGTGGCCAATGAGGGGTACGTATTGTGCCGCGGCCTCCAACCAAACAGCTAGGTCGGCATTCACAGCGACCAAGGCCAGAACTCCCGTAATGGCGATGGTTAGGTTTAAGGGGCGCCCGGACTGCGGTGGTTATCAGCGACCATCAACCTAACCCGGGATGCACAGCGAAACAAAGAGCGACACAACCAAATTACGGGCTGCACAGCACTTATCACGGGCGGAAAAGCCAAATCATGCGGGGGAGCCAAATTACGAGCCGCCCTGTCAATGTGATGGCCAGGCAGCCTGCATAGACAGACACAATGACAGACTGCCACGGTAACTCTGGAGAGTGACAGGAGACAGGGTATCGGCGCAATATGGCGAGCGGTCATCAATAGATGGTGGTGTGAGCGAACGGTATGGTGAGACTGTGAACGCGAAATGGGTGTACCCGTTGAATTATAATAACTGACGAACATACAGGTGATATAAGAACAGAGGAGCGAACCCGTAAAAATACTCAGCTCTTCGTAAAACAATCAGCTCTTTGTGCTAGTCTGCAATGCCTTCCGTCTGACACACGCCGGTAGGCATGTAACGCGGTCCATATGACTGACGACGTCGCATGCCTCCAACGGCTCCGACCACGGCCCGTGCCCGCGTCCCCAGATCGATACGTGAAGCGGTCAACGGTCAATGATCACGCCGGCACTAACGTCCCCAATGCAGTCGGTAGTCGCACACATGCGGTAAGGTATTAGTGTTGCAATCGTTTACGTACAGCTATTAAGTACGGGTAACAGAAAAGCAGATAGCCCTACAAAGGGTAAGTGTGGTTTTCCGATGCCGCAAGCGCAAAAGAAAATCCGGCGGACGACTCGCGACGGTTTCATGGTGACATTACAGCAAATTTTCGGATAAAGGCAAACACAAAGAAAGGGCCAAGACTGAGAGTGACGACTAGCACGGCAATTCTATCACAAACGACGGCCATCCAAGCTTACACGAATAACTTATGCAAATACTAAGGCTTACCAAATATTGATCACCCTTTTGTCGTGAATGCATTTCCTAGTCCTCCAGCGAAACTGGGATGAGCTCGTCTTCTCTTTATCAAAACAACACAGCTCGTGACTGCGGTGATAAGCGCGATTTAAACACCCGGGAACTCCCCTATCTGTTGCAGTTTATGCAACACTACACCCGACGCGATCCAAGCCAAACCGGCTTAGGACGGCTCGACTGCAGACTGGCGCTGTATCAACCAACCGAATCCGACCCTGCTCGCACGCTGAGACCGTCTGCGACTCATATTGCTCACCCTTTGCTGTTGCTGGCAGTCGACGACGCTGAGGAAGCCGTCTCCCCGGCTGTTGTCTTCGATGCAGCCTTAGTGGTCTTGCTAGCCTTCGCCGATCGGTTCTTTGAGCTGGACCGGGTCGGAGCGGCGGCAGCGGCGGCGGCTAGCTGCGGGTCCACTTTCTGAAGAGGCGGCGGCGGTGGCGGCTGTAGGCACCGCGCCGAGGTTAGGTCAGGCCAGGTCAGCGTCTAGGACCTCCGAGAGCGGTGACACAGACATATGCAGGCAGGAAATGACTAGCTGCCTACTAGGATGTCCCAGAGTTCGACAGGACGACGCGTTTAACGATATTTCTCGGAACTGCACTGTCAATTTAACAGATTGGCGAAGAATCAAGCGATAACGCTACACACCCACATAAGTGACCGACTACAGCTCACCAAACTTCCCCCATAATCATACCTTCGAGGCGCTCCTGGGCCTCCTCTTTTGTTCCAGTAGTGTGTTTTTAAGTTGCTTCAGTTCGTCATTGGCGACACAATTATCGATGCCCTTATCCAGTAGCGCTATGGCGTCGTCCAGTTTGCCAAGATGCTGGGCGGCCAAAGCGGCGCGGTGGTAGCCCTGCAGAGACAGTTAGAACCATATGTGACGGTCAGAATAAGCAAGGCTGGTCTGGTTTGACAGACTCTGTAAAATATCAGCAGCTAAATGACACACAATAACATGCCCTGATTGGCAGAAAACTCTGAGCTTGTTAACATAAATTAATGGAACAAAAGTTTATGCACTTATCAAGCAATTTACCTTTCAAAAGTAAACTAAAGCCACACCAAAAATAATCAAAATGCTTTGGATTACTGAAATGTTGAGCCTGTTGAGTGCTCACCTTGAACCAATCAGGCTTCTTGCGGATGGTCAGCCGGGCATATTTCTCGCTCTCTTTGAACTGGCCCAGCTTGTTGTTAACGTGTGCCAGGTTACTGTAGATGATGTGCATGATGTCATCAGAGCCATCCTCCATCCCTGCCTTGAGAGCTGTGAATCACAGGGGAAAGATGCCCGTTATAGACGTTAGACAAACATAATTGTCAATACAGAATAAAAGGGACAGAAGAAACCGTCTTAGTTTAACCCAATAGGTCTTAGTTTTGGGTTGTGTATGTTACAATATGAAGCTCCTTCTGTCTGCTAGTAAAACCTATTAGTAGAAGTAGGAAAACATATCCCAAATGTGGACAGATGGTTACTAGGTTAGTCCATACTCATAATGCTATGCAACAAGTTCCATGTAAAAGATACCCAAATCCTTAACCACTGGCTAGTGGGCAGGCAATTAGTCACTAGACTTATATTCTTTGAAAAGAGTCAACTAAAACTAACCTTGCAAATAGCACTGCCGTGCCTTATCATATTCCTTATTCTTAAAGCAGGTGTTACCCTGAGATTTCAAATCTTCAGCTCGCCTGCTCATGATGACCGCTGTGGAAGGCACAAAAGACAGTCAGCTAATTATAATACCTTGAGCTCTAAACTGACAACTGTATCTCCCTGCAGCCTACTGCCTCCATAACAAATATTGTAACATATTGTGATAACAATAATTAATAATTATCATTAGCTACCTCAACCTGAAGTTGACCCAGAATATCAACATTCAAACAGCAGCTATCTATGAATACATCAAATTTAAGTAATGATTTTTCAGTGTTCGGCAAAGTAGACACATAGATGCCCTTTATTGCATTCACTGTGCCTGACGGCTGACTTCCTGATTTCTCAATTTCAATTTCTTTACATAAGACACAAAGCAAGTACAAATATCAAGCTAAATGGACAGGAAACAAGGATAATTGTTGCTGAAACAGCCAGCTTACAATTTGTCCATGGAAAGAAAGAATCAATTTCTTCATACCTACCAGGGTTGTTTTACATCTAAATTGCAACAAAAAAAAAACGAACAAAAGACAGGGACACTTCACGGTTTGACGACTTGACGACCGGTCGGACTCCGACGATCAACTCTTGATCAACTCAACCTTTGACCCCTTGAACTTTGAAAACAAATCCAACAAACGCTCTGCGATGCGCGTTATCAGTCTATCCCCGCGTTCGATGTCTCTCGGACAACGAAAATTCTACGTCGTCCGGCCAATCGCGTTCAAGGTCAGCGGGGGCTCGGCTGCGATTATGGAACGTGATTGGCCGGACGGCGTAGAATCTTCGCCGTCCGAGAGACATCGAACGCGGGGTATGTCGGGTATGTCCAAGGCATGTAACGGAAGTTGGCACAGATTCAGCACAGATTCAGCACAGCACAGATTCGGTAGGGGAAAAAAAGGCCCCGGTAGAGGGAAACCTTTATGACCCGTTTTTCCCTAGAAATGACGTCACAAACGGGTAAAAAACCACACCAATCGAAAGCTCTCGTTTACCCAGACACAGTCCTGCAGGAAAATTTCACTTTTTCCCCATAGGAAAGTTTTTACGGGAAAATCAAAATTTTGGGTCAATGGGGGGTCCCCCCCGATTTTGTTCAAAATCGGCACACAGGTGCCCCACAACTAGCCGAGAAACTTTCCCCAAAACGGTCCCCGTTGCATTGACGTTTAAGGCCCTTAAAGCCCCGTAAACTCGTAAAAAATCCGTAAATTCGCCCTTGTACGGCCAAAAACGGGGCGCTAGGGTAAAAATGGGTATCAATCGAAAGCTCTCGTTTACCCAGACACAGTCCTGCAGGAAAATTTCACTTTTTCCCCATAGGAAAGTTTTTACGGGAAAATCAAAATTTTGGGTCAATGGGGGGTCCCCCCCCGATTTCGTTCAAAATCGGCACACAGGTGCCCCACCACCAGCCGAGAAACTTTCCCCCAAAACGGTCCCCGTTGCATTGACGTTTAAGGCCCGTAAAGCCCCCTAGACTCGTAAAATATCCGTAAAACCGCCTTTGTACGGACAAAAAAGTGGTGCTATGGTTAAAATGGGTATCAATCGAAAGCTCTCGTTTACCCAGACACAGTCCTGCAGGAAAATTTCACTTTTTCCCCATAGGAAAGTTTTGACGGGAAAATCAAAATTTTGGGTCAATGGGGGGTCCCCCCCGATTTCGTTCAAAATCGGCACACAGGTGCCCCACCACCAGCCGAGAAACTTTCCCCAAAACGGTCCCCGTTGCATTGACGTTTAAGGCCCGTAAAGCCCCCTAGACTCGTAAAATATCCGTAAAACCGCCTTTGTACGGACAAAAAAGTGGTGCTATGGTAAAAATGGGTATCAATCGAAAGCTCTCGTTTACCCAGACACAGTCCTGCAGGAAAATTTCACTTTTGCCCCATAGGAAAGTTTTTACGGGAAAATCAAAATTTTGGGTCAATGGGGGGTCCCCCCCGATTTCGTTCAAAATCGGCACACAGGTGCCCCACCACTAGCCGAGAAACTTTCCCCAAAACGGTCCCCGTTGCATTGACGTTTAAGGCCCTTAAAGCCCCGTAAACTCGTAAAAATCCGTAAATTCGCCCTTGTACGGCCAAAAACGGGGCGCTAGGGTAAAAATGGGAATCAATCGAAAGCTCTCGTTTACCCAGACACAGTCCTGCAGGAAAATTTTACTTTTTCCCCATATGAAAGTTTTTACGGGAAAATCAAAATTTTGGGTCAATGGGGGGTCCCCCCCGATTTCGTTCAAAATCGGCACACAGGTGCCCCACTACCAGCCGAGAAACTTTCCCCAAAACGGTCCCCGTTGCATTGACGTTTAAGGCCCGTAAAGCCCCCTAGACTCGTAAAATATCCGTAAAACCGCCTTTGTACGGACAAAAAAGTGGTGCTATGGTAAAAATGGGTATCAATCGAAAGCTCTCGTTTACCCAGACACAGTCCTGCAGGAAAATTTCACTTTTTCCCCATAGGAAAGTTTTGACGGGAAAATCAAAATTTTGGGTCAATGGGGGGTCCCCCCCGATTTCGTTCAAAATCGGCACACAGGTGCCCCACCACCAGCCGAGAAACTTTCCCCAAAACGGTCCCCGTTGCATTGACGTTTAAGGCCCTTAAAGCCCCGTAAACTCGTAAAAAATCCGTAAATTCGCCCTTGTACGGCCAAAAACGGGGCGCTAGGGTAAAAATGGGAATAAATCGAAAGCTCTCGTTTACCCAGACACAGTCCTGCAGGAAAATTTTACTTTTTCCCCATATGAAAGTTTTTACGGGAAAATCAAAATTTTGGGTCAATGGGGGGGTCCCCCCCGATTTCGTTCAAAATCGGCACACAGGTGCCCCACTACCAGCCGAGAAACTTTCCCCAAAACGGTCCCCGTTGCATTGACGTTTAAGGCCCGTAAAGCCCCCTAGACTCGTAAAATATCCGTAAAACCGCCTTTGTACGGACAAAAAAGTGGTGCTATGGTAAAAATGGGTATCAATCGAAAGCTCTCGTTTACCCAGACACAGTCCTGCAGGAAAATTTCACTTTTTCCCCATAGGAAAGTTTTGACGGGAAAATCAAAATTTTGGGTCAATGGGGGGTCCCACCCGATTTCGTTCAAAATCGGCACACAGGTGCCCCATCACCAGCCGAGAAACTTTCCCCAAAACGGTCCCCGTTGCATTGACGTTTAAGGCCCTTAAAGCCCCGTAAACTCGTAAAAAATCCGTAAATTCGCCCTTGTACGGCCAAAAACGGGGCGCTAGGGTAAAAATGGGTATCAATCGAAAGCTCTCGTTTACCCAGACACAGTCCTGCAGGAAAATTTCACTTTTTCCCCATAGGAAAGTTTTTACGGGAAAATCAAAATTTTGGGTCAATAGGGGGTCCCCCCCGATTTCGTTCAAAATCGGCACACAGGTGCCCCACCACTAGCCGAGAAACTTTCCCCAAAACGGTCCCCGTTGCATTGACGTTTAAGGCCCTTAAAGCCCCGTAAACTCGTAAAAAAATCCGTAAATTCGCCCTTGTACGGCCAAAAACGGGGCGCTAGGGTAAAAATGGGTATCAATCGAAAGCTCTCGTTTACCCAGACACAGTCCTGCAGGAAAATTTCACTTTTTCCCCATAGGAAAGTTTTGACGGGAAAATCAAAATTTTGGGTCAATGGGGGTCCCCCCCGATTTCGTTCAAAATCGGCACACAGGTGCCCCACCACCAGCCGAGAAACTTTCCCCAAAACGGTCCCCGTTGCATTGACGTTTAAGGCCCGTAAAGCCCCCTAGACTCGTAAAATATCCGTAAAACCGCCTTTGTACGGACAAAAAAGTGGTGCTATGGTAAAAATGGGTATCAATCGAAATCTCTCGTTTACCCAGACACAGTCCTGCAGGAAAATTTCACTTTTTCCCCATAGGAAAGTTTTGACGGGAAAATCAAAATTTTGGGTCAATGGGGGGTCCCCCCCGATTTCGTTCAAAATCGGCACACAGGTGCCCCACCACCAGCCGAGAAACTTTCCCCAAAACGGTCCCCGTTGCATTGACGTTTAAGGCCCGTAAAGCCCCCTAGACTAGTAAAATATCCGTAAAACCGCCTTTGTACGGACAAAAAAGTGGTGCTATGGTAAAAATGGGTATCAATCGAAAGCTCTCGTTTACCCAAACACAGTCCTGCAGGAAAATTTCACTTTTTCCCCATAGAAAAGTTTTTACGGGAAAATCAAAATTTTGGGTCAATGGGGGGTCCCCCCGATTTCGTTCAAAATCGGCACACAGGTGCCCCACCACCAGCCGAGAAACTTTCCCCAAAACGGTCCCCGTTGCATTGACGTTTAAGGCCCGTAAAGCCCCCTAGACTCGTAAAATATCCGTAAAACCGCCTTTGTACGGACAAAAAAGTGGTGCTATGGTGAAATGGGTATCAATCGAAAGCTCTCGTTTACCCAGACACAGTCCTGCAGGAAAATTTCACTTTTTCCCCATAGGAAAGTTTTGACGGGAAAATCAAAATTTTGGGTCAATGGGGGGTCCCCCCCGATTTCGTTCAAAATCGGCACACAGGTGCCCCACCACTAGCCGAGAAACTTTCCCCAAAACGGTCCCCGTTGCATTGACGTTTAAGGCCCTTAAAGCCCCGTAAACTCGTAAAAAATCCGTAAATTCGCCCTTGTACGGCCAAAAACGGGGCGCTAGGGTAAAAATGGGTATCAATCGAAAGCTCTCGTTTACCCAGACACAGTCCTGCAGGAAAATTTTACTTTTTCCCCATAGGAAAGTTTTTACGGGAAAATCAAAATTTTGGGTCAATGGGGGGTCCCCCCCGATTTCGTTCAAAATCGGCACACAGGTGCCCCACCACCAGCCGAGAAACTTTCCCCAAAACGGTCCCCGTTGCATTGACGTTTAAGGCCCGTAAAGCCCCCTAGACTCGTAAAATATCCGTAAAACCGCCTTTGTACGGACAAAAAAGTGGTGCTATGGTAAAAATGGGTATCAATCGAAAGCTCTCGTTTACCCAGACACAGTCCTGCAGGAAAATTTTACTTTTTCCCCATAGGAAAGTTTTTACGGGAAAATCAAAATTTTGGGTCAATGGGGGGTCCCCCCCGATTTCGTTCAAAATCGGCACACAGGTGCCCCACCACCAGCCGAGAAACTTTCCCCAAAACGGTCCCTGTTGCATTGACGTTTAAGGCCCGTAAAGCCCCCTAGACTCGTAAAATATCCGTAAAACCGCCTTTGTACGGACAAAAAAGTGGTGCTATGGTAAAAATGGGTATCAATCGAAAGCTCTCGTTTACCCAGACACATTCCTGCAGAAAAATTTCACTTTTTCCCCATAGGAAAGTTTTTACGGGAAAATCAAAATTTTGGGTCAATGGGGGGTCCCCCGATTTCGTTTTCCTATGGGGAAAAAGTGAAATTTTCCTGCAGGACTGTGTCTGGGTAAACGAGAGCTTTCGATTGATACCCATTTTTACCATAGCACCACTTTTTTGTCCGTAATATGGCGATTTTACTGATATTTTACGAGTCTAGGGGGCTTTACGGGCCTTAAACGTCAATGCAACGGGGACCGTTTTGGGGAAAGTTTCTCGGCTGGTGTTCGGGCACCTGTGTGCCGATTTTGAACGAAATCGGAGGGGACCCCCTATTGACCCAAAAATTTGATTTTCTCGTAAAAACTTTCCTATGGGGAAAAAGTGGAATTTTCCTGCAG